GGGCTGGAGGAGGGAGCGGAGACCCGGGCAGGGAGGAGGGTGTGGCGTGCGGGAACCCCGCTCGGGAGATGGCCTCAGTGAGTCGCCGGCCCCGGATTCGTGCCCGAAACGCTGATTTCCGAATTTCCGTCGGTCGCGGCCGCATGGGGGACCCCCGCCAGGGACAAGTGTCATAGCGGTCGGGGGGCAGGCGTGGGCAGTGCCGGTGCCAGGGCGAGGAAGGGGCTGTCGGCAGGAAACGGAGGTGAGCCCCCTGGCCCGCCGCCTCTGCTTCCCGCCTCCAGCTCAACGTCCCCAGGCCCGGGCCGTGACCTCTGCGTGTCGGGGGCCCAGGGTTGGGGTGTGGCCCGTCTCCATCCTCAGTGCCCCCTTCCTGTTGTTATGGGGGTGCCGCCTCTGTCTTCTTCACACCCCGAATCCTTTCTTATCCGTGGGAGGGCTGATCGGGGGGGCTTGGGGAGAGGGAAAGTTCAGTGTCCCCCGCCCCAGTGTGCACTGACTCCCCGCAAGAAATCCCAAACGACCAGTCCAGGTGAACATAGTGCGTGCGGTGCAAATGTCATTTCAAGGCAAGTCCTCCAGGCTTGTCCCCTTTCCACCGACTTGCTCCTGCAGGCATCCTGCACTCCTCTCCCTCCCTCTGAAGTGTGGGCTGGGCGCCTCTGCAAACACCCTGGCCTACCTGCCTCCCCCACCCAGAATCTGGATTCTTCAAAGGAGACCTCACTGCAACATCTGTCTTTGTTCACGACCAGCTCTCTCCCCGGCCCCCATCTGGGAGTCACCAGAGCTGCTGATAGACCCCCCACTTCTGGAGGGAAGGCAGTAAGTGCTCCCCTTCATCTGAATCTTCTCTGACACCCATCCCCCAGACTCCTCTCTGCTCTGAACTCCCACTGCCTGCTATCTGTATCTCCTGTGTAACTCTTATCGACGTCTGCCTTATTTTATAGTTACTTTTCCATCTGCCTTATCTCCCCTGCTGGACGGTGAGCTCCAGGGCTGGAGTTGATTCATCTCTGGTCCCCTGCTCTGGTCAGTACCCTGCGTGCAGTCAGTGTCTCCGTGGAGCAGAAGGCCCTTCCAAGGCTTGCCTCTGGAACCCTAGCTTTTCTGGTTCCTGGACTGTTGCTGTTAAATTATTTTTCTTCCGTGAAGAGACTGTATTCTGTGGTTGGAATGGACTTCCAGCCCTCTCCCACTGCAGAGAGAAACACAGTGAGCTAGGAAGGACTGTTGTTCTTGTAAGGAGTGGCTTGCCAAGTGAACAGGACAGTACATCCTCTGCCCTGAAGATGGCCAGGCACAGACTCTAGATTCTCTGGGTAGTGAGTGTTGAATGGGCCATTCTCTCTCCTGGCCTTCTCCAGCTGCTCAGGCATGGGAGGCAGTAGGGGAGAGAAGGGGACTGCGGGAAAGGGGAGAAGGGGACTGGGGTTCCAGGCCTGGCTTTTCCCCATAACTTGCTGTAGGAGCTTAACTACGTCGCTTGATTTCTCTTGGTTGTGGTTGCACCTTATGGAATCTGAAAGAATTCCTTTGCGTATCTAAGGCCCTTTGGGATCTGGGTCCTGTCTACCTTTTCTGCCTCCTCTGCTAGTATTTCATTCATACTCTAAGCTGCAGTCCTCTCAGGCTACCTAGAGGCTTTCAAAGACTTGGTGCTCCCTTGCCCTCCATCTCCCCAGGTACCTTCAACTCTTCACTGGTTGAGACCCAGTCTTGGCCTTCACAGGCGGAACTGGTCCCCCATCTGATTTTCGAACCACCCTAGTCTGACTTGCCTGCCACACAGGATGGCCCTTATCTATTTACATGTGCCCCCCACTAGACCGTGAGCTCCTGGGCGGTCAATGCTGCTTCATGTTTCTCTGCGTCCCCAATGCTTCGCTGCACACTAAGGCACTTAGGAAAATAGTGAGAGGGTTGGCATAGATGAGCACTGATAGCCCTTCTTGTCCAGAGTCGATTGCTTATACATTCTCTGTTATGGGGACCCATTGCCTTCTTTCGTGTCTAGAGGCCTGTTTTAACACCAAGTAGATAGATGCTCTCCTAACCAGCCCATCCAGTTAGTCTTTCCAACTTGGTCTTCGAGAAGACCAGTCACAGAGGATGTGCAGTTATCTGTAGAGATTAGCAGAGGAAACGTCTGGTACTTCGAGATCACTGCCTTGCTGTTTACGGAAAAGATGTTGGGGGCCATGTGCTCTTTAAAGTAAACGTAGTGGTATTGCTCCAGTGTCTTTGGCCATAGGCAGGAGGAGCCGCTGCTTATGACCGCAAGGTCAATCCAAAATGAGCCATTGGGTTCTTGTATGCCAGTTCTCAACTTTGCTTAGATGAGATCAATCCCTTTGCAGATAGTCACCCTGAAAGCTGCTTAACAGGACTCCCTGCCTCCAAACACAGATGCAGATAAGTGGTCTTTGCCCAGCTTCTCTGTAGGTCATTTGGTTGATGTTTATTAAGCTTTTACTGGGTACCCTGGAATGTTATCAAATAGAGCCATGGCAAATCCTCATCTGGTTTACTCTAAAACCATAATCTGAGGCATTTCCCCCTTTTCTAAAGGCTTTCTACAGTGACCCATATTAAAAATTTCTTTTAGAATTTAGGGCCAGGCAAACTTTTCCTTCCCCCAGGAAACTAGGTTGCTTTCTCCTTTGATAATGAAAAGGAAAGTGGGGAAGGAAAACATGTTTTGTTTGTATACTTTGCACCATGCAGTGTGTGCTTGGGCCTCCCTGACACACCCTGCAGGGTAGGTTGTATTCTGCTGCTTTTTTTCCAGAGAAAGAAGTTAAGACACACAGAGAGGTCAGCTAACTTGCCCAAGTTTCCCTGGATTTGTACTCAGTTCTGCTTCTTTGCCACACTATGTGTGGCTCTTTCTATACCACACTATCTTTCCAACTGATTATGTTTCTCCTCTTCTCCTTGGCTTCCAGGCTGCTCAGCACACAATGTGATATTCTGTCTAGCAACTATATTCACTTGCCCTCAACATCAGCATATTTATTTCTGGACTCTTTTTTCTGTGTGTGTGTTTATGTGTAAATCTCTCTCTATATGCTCTTTATAAAGTTATCACAAAAGGTTTCTGGAAAACTGTATGGGTAAGAGAATTGAATATAGTAAGTAACATTGCTTGCTGGGCATGGTGGTGTGCACCTGCAGCTGAGGTGGGAGGATCCCTTTAGCCTAGGAGTGTGAGGCTGCAGTGAGTTATATAAGCTTGTGCCAGTGCACTCCAGCCTGGGCAGCAGAGTGAGACCCTGTCTCTAAAAGAAAAAATAAATAAAAATAAAAAGGTAACATTGTACCTAACACACTAACTCACAGTGTGGTTAGGGAGATGAGTCCACAGGTAACAAAAGGTATGTGTGATAAGAGTTGTTGAAGGTAGAGGTCAGAGGGGTAGATGCCCTTTCTGGGTAAGGCAGTCAGGGTTGACTTCCTGAAAGAAGTGGGACTTGAAGGAAGCCTTGAAGAATGGGTAGTTTTGATAGTCCACAGCAACTGTAAAGGTGTGTAGGACTTACATTCTAAAATCTGTGGTTATCGTGATGGCCCTGCAAGACAGGTCTTCTGGTGGGAAAGGAGAGAATTGGTCCAGATACTAAAGTGGGGAGCCTGGTGATGCCTTCTTCAAATCTTGTGTATCCTTGATGGAGGATCCCAGAACACTGGAGCTGGGAGGGCCTGCACCCTATTGAGGATGAGAGGCAGAGGCTGGAAGAATAGAAGTGATCTGGGCAAGACCTCTCTGCTAGCCTGGAACCCAAGTCCCTGATTACCAGTTTCGTGTTCTTGTTTTAAAGTGACAGCTCTGTACGTGGGTCCTTGATTCCTGTAAAATGAGTATGGAGTACTGACCTCCTCACGCCCAGTCTGGCAACACCAGGGCAAACCTCTGCTAAACATTTATGGTCAAACACATGACGAGTGCTGTTAGGAGGGGCATGCTGGCATTTGCTTAAATTACTCTTTTTTTTTTTAACTTTTATTTTTTAAAAAATTATTATTTTTAGATGGAGTTTCGCTCTTGTTGCCGAGGCTGGAGTGCAATGGTGTGATCTTGGCTCACTGCAACCTCCGTCTCCCAGGTTCAAGCGATTATCCTACCTCAACCTCCCAAGTAGCTGGGATTACAGGCGCCCACCACCATGCCCGGCTAATTTTTGTATTTTTAGTAGAGACAGGTTTTCGCCATGTTGGCCAGGCTGATCTTGAACTCCTGACCTCAGGTGATCTGCCCTGAGCCTCCCAAAGTGCTGGGATTACAGGCGTGAGGCACCGCGTCCAGCTGTTAACTTTTAAGTTCAGGGATACAAGTGCAGGTTTGTTGCATCGGTAGACTTGTGTCATGAAGGCTTGTTATACAGATCATTTTGTCACTCAGGTACTAGTACCCATTAGTACCTAAACCTAGTACCCATTAGTTATTTTTCCTGATCCTTTCCCTCCTCCCACCCTTCACCCTCCAATAGGTCCCAGTGTGTGTTGCCCTCCTCTGTGTGTCCATATGTTCTCACCTTTAGCTCCCACTTTAGCTCCCACTTATAAGTGAGAACTTGTGGTGTTTGGTTTTCTGTTCCTTCATTAGTTTGCTAAGAATAATGGCCTCCAATTGCATCCATGTTCTGCAAAGGACATGATCTCATTCTTTTTTATGACTATATAGTATTCTATACTATGTGTATATATACCACATTTTCTTTTCCAGTTTACCATTGATGGGGCATTTAGGTTGATTCTATGTCTTTGCTATTGCAAATAGCGCTTCAGTGAACATACGCATGCCTGTATCTTTATGATAGAATGATATTTTTAGTAGAGACGATGTCTTGCTGTGTTGCCCAGACTGGTCTGGAACTCCCAGGTTCAAGCAGTCCTCTTGCCTGGGCCTCTCTAAGTGTTGGGATTACAGGTGTAAGCCATTGCACCTGGTCAAATTATATTAACAACTGCCCTTGCCAGAGGACACAGGAAATAAACTAACAGGCAGGGTTCCAGTAATAGACAAATCAAAAACCCAAGACAGCCTTGGAGAGAGAGCCTGGAAAGATGAGTTTCACACTCTCCTTGTTGAAGTTCCCCATCCTTCACAAAGCTTTTCCTTGAGTGCCCTTGCCCCTGCAGTCCCTTATCTCTATTGTGGAAAGGGGTCTTATTAAGACCCGGCTAGTCAGAAAGATCAGAGGTCATGATCAGGGACGTCAGTGGGAGTCATGGGTCCAGGGAAAAGGCAGAGTGTTATCAGAGCAGCGGGAGGACCCAAGAGACCTTGAGGCTGATTCCAGTCTTGGAGCAGAAGCTGACAGCTCAGACTCCTTGTTGGGTGTGAACATGCCAACCTGCAGCCTTAGGAGCACATGACTGCAGGCTGGAATAGCTCTGTCTGAGGAAAGTATATCCTGACTATGCATACATGTATGCATAGTCATTTGATTCATATTTTTGGCCATAGTTAGGTTCTTTTTTTTTCTTATTTTTTGAGACAGGGTCTCTCTCTGTCTCCCAGGCTGGAGTGCAGTGGCGTAATCATTGCTCACTGCAGCCTCAAACTCCTGGGCCGAATGATCCTCCTGCCTCAGCCTCCTGAGTAGCTGGGACTACAGACATGTGCACCACGCTGGCTAACATAGTTATGTTCTATAAAGTCCCGCTTAAAACACTGAGTTAGTGAACACTGAACCACTGCTCTTAGGGAAAACACAGGATTAGGCTTCTTTGAGCCTGTGGGCACAACATTTTCTTTAACCAATCCATATGTAATCTTATGTTGTATGTTTCTGTTGAAAGAGGTCTGGCGCGGTGGC